CGGCCAAATCCGCCAAACAAAATATCGTAAAAATCTATTTAACTTTGATACTGATACTAATAATCATCATGAACGATTTAATCGAAAATTTAAAGATCATATATCATCTCACATGCATATATCTGAATGCGTTACAAAATTAGTTTTACTTGTTGACGATATTAAAGTCGAAGAAATGATTTTAAATATTAGTCTGAAACAAAAAATTTACAATTCTGATGATTCAATGTTACTTAAAAGATTTGGTTCACAAATAACAAACAAAGCTGTTGAATTATTTACGTAAACAAAACGATGAAATTAAACTTCAACATTATTTTATAGAAGAACTTGAAAATAATAGATGGCAAATCGATCAAAAAGACGAAGAAAAAAATTATTACATTACTTCAAGTATAATTTATCGCGATTCATGCGAAGGCTTATTATTTTATGATTGTCACTTTTATTTACAAAATCAGTTACCATGTCGTCATATGATCGTCTTGTTTAATAAAATTAATGATGAGATATATGATCAAACACATGAAATACAAAAAATTATCTCATTTAACAAACGATGGTTAAAACATTCAGTTGATTATTATTTAAATGATATACAAAATTGTGATCCACAATTTATTTATAGTTACTCAAGTTCCAGCTCAAAAAAATAAAATTTAAAATAGTAATGACAAGTATAATAATGTTAAATCAACTTTAGATCTATTAACAGCTCGCATCATTCAATCTGGAACCAATGAATTTAATGAGCATTTAAATTTTCTCAATGTTATTGTTGATTTAATTAATTTAAACAAATACAAAGAATTATACAATTATGTAAATTCTTTAAAACATACACATTCCAAATAGCAAGATCAAGAAATAGAACAGAAACCATTTATAAATCTACTTGATAATATACCGGAAGAACTAACAGCAAAACAAGCAAAATTTAACAATATAGAAGAAGAAATTGAACAACAAAATGTTATGAAATTTAATCAAGATCAAGAATTAGAAGAACATGATGGAAAATCTTTCTAAGAAGATAATGAACAGTTACCAAAAATTACAATTAGAATCAGAACTAAAGGAAAAACAATCACATACATTATTAAAAGAAAAATTGATTCTCAGTTATTCACCGGTAATTAACCCTCGATTTAGACTGGTAAGGAATCATTAGTGGCTTATAAGAAAAAAGATAACACCAACGATAAAGATCAAATTAATAAAAAAAGAACTTATAAACAATCTTCACCAGATTTAAAAGGATATAATGTTAAACGGAATAAAAAATTAGAATCAATTCGCGACGTTTATGATAAAACGACATGGTTAACTGATTTTCATATATATTTATTTTTCGAATTATTACATAAACATTTTCCCAATATTAATGGACTATGTGGTCCTGCACAAATTCATTTATACACACAGTCGTTAGAGAACTCGATTTTTATTTTCAATGCAAATAATAATCACTGGGTAACGATTTCAAATTTGGACAGTAATAATATTTAGAAAGTTTATGATTCACTAAGTTATTCAAAAGAATCAGTCATTAAATTTTTTAAGGACATCTCTTACCTGGTGAAGAAAAAGTTTTGGTTTCATTTGAAAGTATGCAACAACAAATTGGTGATAATGATTGTGGATTATTTGCTTTGCTTTGGCATTTACGACTTCTCTTTGTTACAAAGATGTTCCATCTTTAACTCTTTGACGGTTGGGGGTATATATATGTACCATCTGTTTTCAGGAGAGCATAACTTTTGATAGAAAGCAGCTAGGGAGCTTCGATTTTCACCATGCGAAAGAAGAGACTTGGAAACATGTTTTCCCGAGTAAAATAAGTTCCAGAAGAGCTTTTGAAACAGGTTTTCCAGGAGATCTTTGGGAAACCAGGTTGTATGTAAAATTTTTCCAACAGGATTGCATAGGTTTTCTTTCATAAACTGGTAGCCCGAGATCTCTTCTTCAAAACGGAAGTCAAGCGAGATCTTGATTTTCTGTCATTCGGGCGCTGTATCAAATTTCGTACGAGCCCCAGGACTGGCACCATACGACTATTGATAGCCTTGAAAGCTGATGGATTATAGGTAATCGATCATGCTGAGTCTCATGGCAATATTTGTTTTGTAGAAAAAGCTTTACAGCAAACATTATCATCAGCGTGGTCGATAAACTATGTCTCAAGTCTTTTTCTTTCTCTTCGCGCAAAGTTTTCCTTGCAGGTCTGTCGTCGGAAATCGTCTGTATCTCGGAAACCTTAAATGACAGAAACTTAATTATTGCGTACTTGGAAAGAGGACCGTTCATAGGTATGTACCAGCAAAAAAAGAAAAAAAGCATTTTGGAAAACTGACTTGTTTTCCGACTTTCCTTAGCGAGATTTTTCAGAGAAAACCTATTCGGAAAATCTCCTTTCGATGTAGGTTTTTCTCCCATGATCTCCTCTAACCGGTGCTGAAAATCGCAGGTCTGTCACTTTCGCTTCAAAAGTTATAAGCGATCTGCGCACGCGCGTTTTATTTTGAAAGCGACAATAATTAATGACATAAAGTATCTGCCTGTACGCTAACCTGAAACGTGAATACATACTGCATGCACAAGGAAGACAAAGAAACAGTGGAGAAAACTCACTTCTGTAAATTCATTCTATTTCATACTCGTGTAAGACGCACCAAAGTCGAACTTGTAGCACTATTTGCATCTAGGCAAGTGTAATTGAAGGTTCTACACGTAACAATAAGGTTTAGACACTGCATTTTTCTGATACGGCTCTGAATCGGAAATGGTTATATTGCAAACCTATCTCGTCCTACAGTTTAAAGGATAGAGCCAAGTATTTTATGTCAGTTTGTTCGCCTTCATACGTAGAACAAAGTAACGTATCGATGCTGAAACAAATCGTTGCTCGGTGTCCGTTACTTTAAACGAAAAATAAAATATTGCCACAAGTTCGACTTTGGTGCGCCTTACTACTATCCTTTTCAAAATAACTCGGTTTTCACGCTGTGCATTTTCCCGCTGCGAGAGTAAAATAGCTATAACTTTTTTTCTAACAAGGCTAGAGATTTGCGGTTTTCACCATTCGGTTCAGCTTGCTGAACTCTACAATATGACATACGCCTGGTCACTGACGTCGAAGGTGAATGTAAATGGTGATAGGTTTTATATGGATTGAGCCTATCTGTCGATGCCGAAATTTGACTAAAAATTCAATGTCTCGCGTTCCTCTTGGAAGCCCAACGTTTTTCTTCTGCTGTTTTGTCGTCGCACTCTTCTAGTATCTATCATAAAAATCTGGGGCTTACTGAGCTGGCTAAGCATGAGATAATGAATGGTGAAGTAGTTGCGGTAGCGCCATCAACAACTTGATAATAAAAAGACATCTAGAGTCCGGATTTGTACTGTTTTCTAGCCTGATCAAAGTTGTATTTGTGCTGAAAGTTTTGTATCTCTAAGTCAAGCCGTTAGAAAATAGCACACTCAAGATGAAACGCTAAATTGGTCATAATTTAGCACCAAAATGAATGGTAGTTTTTCTTAAAACTTGAATATCTCAGTAACTGACTACTTGGGTTGTAGAGCTGCGATTTGCGGCAAAAAACTTACTATTGATTGTACTTTTGACCTATGTAATTGAAATCAAATTTGGAGAAAGTCGAGTGAGCCTGGTTGGTCGTGGCTTACCTGCAATGGCCCTTAAAACATTTCCATGTTTGGTCTGTTTGTGAGTGCTAAACTCGCCATTCTGTTGTGTCTATCCTTGCATGTGTAAATCGTTCGAGTTTCTTTCGACTTAAGTCAGATGAAGGTGAAATCACATTGATTACGATTTTGAAATCGTTTTCTTTATCTTGTCCTTTATTTAAAAGTAAATGAAACAACCGATTTCGTATAGACACAAGCATATATGAACTGTGCACACTTTTTCCCGCAGTGATTGCATTGTTTTATACGCTTACGAATATCCTTTGCTTTGTGAAGTAGATGTGTGCCGTAATATGCGAATCAAATTATGGCCAACTCTCGTCCACCTTTCTAAAAACCCAACTCTCTAAATCGTGACCATCATTATGTCCATGACTAATATCAACACTACCATACAATTTATATCCTATATTTCTCAAGTTACTCAATATCTGAGCTAACATAATTCTTGCAGTCACCGCTTCCTGACCATCTGCCCAAAACGGATTCCCATTAAGTTTGAATTCTACCGAACCATAATAGTTTATTTCATGGGCGATACCTTGGCGCCATTCTTGTTTGATTCCGGATTTGACTGTTTCTATTAAATCAAGAGATGGTGAGTCGATTACTCGAATCCGATCAGTTTTGTTGAAGGAAATTGAGAAAAGAGAGGGTCGATATGAAGGTATTACTATACTTAATTCAAAAAATAGAGTATCTTTATCTCCTGCTCTTTTACTGACGTCCGATGCTTGAACAAGATTCCACCCCTTTTGTGCCATACACACCAACAATTCTGTTAAAAGTTTTCGAGAACGAACTGCTTCGTCCGATGTACCTATCCATGGATAACCCGATAGTTTGAATTCATAAGTGCTATAATATAATCTTTCATCTTGGATTTGACCCCACGAGCTGCTGATCGCTGTGCGGATTTCGTGGACGAGAACGGCAGGTACATTTATGAGACGAATCCGGTCGAACATGTTGAGCGAAATACAGCAAATTTGTATCTTGTCTGCCTTCGCGGGATACAGCGTAGAGTAGCTAGGGAGTGCCATTGATAAATATGTTCTACAACAAAAACCGGGATAAAAATATGGTTGACTCTGGCGTTTAAACTAATTGTATTTTATACCATGTCGTCTTAAAGCGTCGAGCAGACATCTGCACCCCAGCTGAGCTGCCATTGTAGTAATTCTGAACATGACTTACCTCAGATATGTACCCGCAGTCTAAGCATAAAAGCGATGAGTAAGAAAACTGAATGTTGTTATTTTTTTTTGGGTGCTATAATAATTCGTCTCAATATATTGGTCTCTGGAAATATTCATCGAACAATTTATCTTTTGTCATTTAATTCCAGACAATTTAACTGACGGAAAATTTGCTCTGCGTTGTCTCTGCGTCATTTCGTCTCAGTCGAATAATTAGACTATTCGTCTCACAGTGAAATAGACGCATTCAAACAGGACGCGTCAGTAAAAAATCTTTATTATGTGAAAATTATATGTAAAAATCTTTATGCTTTAAACAAGTGAAACATAATGAAAAAAGAATGATGATGGACGACGACGATGATGATCTTATCTTTATCTTTACTGTACTGAAAATGACTATATATATGTATATATGATAAAAAGAAAAGAAGTCTATGGAAGTCTAAATTACGTGAGGATATAACATTCATTTGAACTCGCAACCAGTTTTCGAGCTCGTAACTGGTAACAAGTTCAAAACAGCCTCCCCAGTCTTCCTATACTATGTCAGAATATGCCATTTATTTGAACTCGTAATGAATAATGTTTTTTAAAGTCGTAACTGGTAACGAGTTCAAAACGGCTTACTAGTCTAAAAAAAGACGGTAGTATTTTTCATCGTGTAATGAGTTTAAAGACTGCCATCCGTAGTACGGAGGGATTTGTCCGCAATTAAAACAACGAAATGGTTTTCGATGAACACAATGAACCGATAAATGATTACGTTTTCCACAAACTTTACATGGTTTGAAACGATTCTGTTTCTGTACAACGGGCAATCATTGATCGATCGAATTTCGAATTTTTCTTAACCGCAAATCAAACCTCCGATGATACAGTCCTAGCAATAACAAATTTTGGCTAAAGGAGCGCCCGTACACATGAAAAGACTACTAAAATAGAAGCTCTGAAACTATCTATGTCTGGTTCTTAGCTGATCAACTGCAGGAGCGAAGAAGAAGTGATATTATGTTTAATATTTACTATTTCGGAAGTTTAAAGAAAACATAACATATATTCTAACTACCATTAAATTAATTAAACTATCAGCATCATTAAATACTAGACAAAATTTCTGCGTCATTTAAGCCTAGAACGAAGTTTTAAAAGTTATTCTACAAAGTTGAGAAAATCAAAATTTTCTACCCTGAATTTGACATTAAAGAACTGTAGTTCTTTTCAGTGATCCCAGGTAGAAAAAATCGTTAGAAACGGGACGAAAAACGCGCTTTTCTCGAATGTGTTGGCGATCGATCGTTAAAGGCACCGTTTAAACGCGTTTTTTGTGGTTACAAACTTTGGAATAACTTCTTCTCGCGTTCAAGAACGCGTTATTCTAAAGTTTTGAACGACAAAAAACGCGTTTAAACGGCGCTTTTAACGTTTGGGAAAAATGCGTTTTCCATGCAGTTTCTAACGTCTTTTTTTGAAGTTGAAATTTTTTGTTATTTCGAACTGCTAAGTACTCATTCTGCTGCTCTCCATTGGTTTGTTGTCAACTAAGGTAATGTCAGGAGGATATGAGCGAACGGGAAGAATGGAGGAACAAAAGTTGACGGTTTAAACCTGTGTATCATCCCTATGTTTTTATTTTGAATTATTTCAAAACGCGTTAATTAACGTTTTTATTGTCGTTCACGTTCACCGAAAAACGCATTCTCTAACGCGTTGTGAAATCCGAAAAACGCGTTTTCAAACGAATGGATTAAAAAGCCGCGTTTCAACGACCAAAAAACAGTGGTGGTTTTGAAACGTCAATTATTTTGTCCCTGGGGTAGTTATTTGGGCGTGGCCAACCGCCATGAAGCCGCGATTTGTTTTGTTTATTTAACACCAACCAAATATGATGAAATGATGATTTTTTTACTACTGATAGTACATATATAGTGCTAATGATCTGTTATTATTTCACCTATATATCTTACCACACAGGAGGCTTGCCAAGGGATGTTTTGTCATCGTTTTGTTAAACATGCTTTACATCCAGTATGTCACCCTACACTAGGTTTTCTGCGAAATTCGAATCAGTATGAATTATCAATAACAAAGTTTCAGTATCGGATAAGGTTAGTTGACCAAAAAATAGAACTTATTTTATCGTTTATTTACGAATAGGATGTTTGTTTAAATTCATGTTACATAGAGCTGAGACAACTTGCGCAATCTTAGTTATTTTACGAAAATCATCAATAGCTCCTCTGTAAATGCCGCCGAGAATAACATAGGCTTTCAGACGCTGATTGATATTTTCAATAGCCGCTCTTGCACTATTAATATCTCGATTAAAAACTTTGTCTTCAGCTGTTAAGTTGCGTCCACGAGGCTTCTTTCTTGGAGTGATCACATAATCTTCACCGATGTATCCTTTATTGGCCTTTAGCCTCCTGTATGGTGAGATATACAGGTGAAATAATAACAGATCATTGGCACTATATATGTACTATCAGTAGTAAAAACGTCATCATTTCATCATATATGGTTGGTGTTACATGAACAAAATAAATCGCGGCTTCATGGCGGTCGGCCACGCCCATAAATAAGAGCGATTCATTCATAAATATATATTTAATACATGAATTTATTAAAAATCTCGAAGTACTCTTTTCTAGAAAAAAAACATCAAATTTTGATATGCTCCTCTACACTGGCACTGTTGGGCAACAGTTCTTTCTTATTCATCTAAAAAAGTTTATTGTTTTCTGTTCTGAAAACACAAAAAGGTTGCTTTTTTCATACACAAAAGATGAATAGGGAGTGGGAAAAAAATTTCCCTCCGTATTACAGTCACTGATTTCACACAAATAACAATAAGAAAAGAATACTATTTATTTCGTTTCTTTGATTCTGAATTGTAATGTTGTTGAATTTTCATTGTCTAAAAAATCTTCAATCGAATCATTTAAATCAATTTGTGAATATTCATCATCCTTATCGATTATAAAGAAAGAGTATGTTGAAGAATTTTGAACGATTTTAAATTGACCAGTCGCTTTCTGAAACAGATCATCGATTCGTGTCTTCAAATGACAGGGATATTCAAGCGTTTTTCCATCAAATTCAATTGAACATTTCACTGTAGCTATGCAGACAAATTCAAATTCAAATTCGATTGCATCGTTATCATCCAAATCATCCAGTGTATCAGTTTCATCTGTGTTGCAGTGGTCAAAATCTAATCGATAGTATTCCACATTTTCGTTGAATAAAAGACAACTAATTTGACACAAACGTTGAATTGTTAATAGTTTCGAACAACTGAATTTTCGTTCATCACCATCCTTGTTTTTCACTATCACCGTTGCTTTATAATTTTGATTAATAACTGTGAACGAAATTGCTATTTCTTGTAAGTCAGTTGTCATCATGCTACTAAAGTATATAAAAATTAACTTTCATGAAATACGTCCAAATTCAGTTTTGTTTTGTTTTATTTTGGCAATTAATTCAAGAGATGTTACATTAAAACTTTTAACCAAAACGTTAACATGAAAATGAGAACAAAACCATATTGCCAGGAAAGCAAAAAAAAGAGTGCTTAGCACCTGTAAGACTTTTGCCACCTTTACACTACCACAATCATATTTGCAAGTGTTGGCGCAAACGAGTTTTGAAGTCATTAATAGCGGGAGAGCTCACTACAGCCTTAGGTAGGGTTGTATTCCACTCACCAGCAGTTTTGTAGGAAAAACTGCTGAGGATGGTCTGAGTTCGAGCAAAAGGAACCTTGACTTGAGCTTGATTTAGAGTGTTACGATTCGTTTGGATTATGTCCAAACATGAGCAGATGCTTCTTTAAACTGGTGATACATCGCTCCAAGACGTTGTCTACAAGACAAAGCGAGATCGTCTGCGTGCTGAACCCACCTCAAGTTGTAACTTATCTTGAGACCTAACAGGGTTAGATGCATAACCCGATTCATTAGGGTTTTTTGATTTAAAGTAAACTGGTAATTATCAGCTTTTTCTGGACTATAAGAGACAAACATCCAAGAGCATTTCGAGACGTTGAGTGACGTTAAGTTACCTAAACACGAATTATTGATGTGGTCTATGTTAGCCTGGCAATCGGAGAGAGAATGCGAGACAGAAATGGGACAAATCAACGTGCAGTCATCAGCAAAGAGGATAGAATCAGCTGGCCAGCTGGCTGAGTTTTCACTGAACTTTGACGGTAGTTCATTAATGAAAATTAAGAATAAGAGGGATCCTAGAATTGAGCCCTGAGGTACCCCAGCAGTTACTCGATAGAATTTGAAGAATTTGTTCTTCATGAGAAATAAGTGCAAATTGGAGAAATTAGGTAAGATAATTTATGCATTCTTGATATGACTTTTCAAAGAAAAGGTTTTATTGGTGAGCCTAGATTGAACAAGTACTTTTTGAGAAGAAAAATCTCTTAGTATCCGCTGACTTATGTACGAGTCCTGGTTTTTCAGTCCCACTCGGACTTCTCCGATTCTACAATAAACTACATATCTTTAGGAGAGGAACCCATTTGAAATATACACGACTTCATACATAATCGACATTCTGAGCATTTTTGCGCAGAAATTTCACCGGCAACTCCCTTACGAAAAAAGTGCCAAATTTTGATATGTGTGCAATGTAAAACGTCGTTCAAATACCTGTTAGTTAATAAGGCACAAAGTTGAGTGTTCTTTGCTGGAATAAAATCTGTGTCAAATAAAAGATATTGATCATCTGACAGATTGAATTGTTGATAAACATGTTCAAGTATCGAGTATTGAATGAAACGTTTTACATATTGAGTCGTTCGAACGTTATTTTGTTCGATCTTAAGCAGTTTTTCGTCTTTTGGGTTTTCTAATGATACCAAACATGTCTGACTTTGTTTCAATCGAAAAAATTTTGTTTTGTTTGGTGGTAATATGTTTGAATAGCATATATTAGGATCAATCACTTCCATTGTTTCAGTATTCGCTAAATATTCATCGGTCTCAAGTTTCAATACATCTTTCATTGTTGCTTGTTGATTGTACACCTGCTGTATTTTTATTGATTCTTGACCGTATTCAATTACTGATAAAACTATTGCTATACAAAAATTGACAATTCTCTCTTGTTTCGAATTAAGAGACAAAAACGCTTCAACCGGTTGTTCAAAATCATCTTGGTCTTCTAAAATTTTAAGTTCTTGATCATCGTTATCCTTATTATCACAGACAAGGACTAAATTATCCAATGTTGTTTTAGTCATATGTAATTCAGATTCCATTTGTTCATTGTTTAGTAGATCGATGATCAATGTGCACTTTAACGTATCAGTAGCATAGGATCTTGTTTCATAATGAAAAATAACTGTCACAATATCGTCATTTTGAACTAGTTCAACAACTGTTTCATCATCTTTGATTGTTGACACCATCGGTTGATCGTTATGAATGACACATTTTTGACGTTTATCCCAGAAATTAAAATTAACCGTTGCCAACATATTCAACTTAGGTACCGATTTTAGCCATGTATCAATTTTTTGCCATTTTATAGATGGAATAAACAAGTTGGAATCTTCAGTACCTAAAAGTAATGAAAGTTAGCTACTTGAAAGAACGAGATTTGTTCTTCAGAAATGTTTTAGTTCTTAAAAGAGGAAAATTAACTATTTGGTAGAGTTTGTCCACACTTAAATATTTTGAATTTGATGCTCCTTTTCGGGTAACGGCTTCATGACACCAAGTTGCGCTCTAGGTACATATTTCTGAAAAACGGTACATCTTAGAAGATTATTATCTTTGTTTCAAAGTCCAAACAAGTATGTCAAAACGCTTTCAAAATAATTTGCTGTTCTCAGACAATCAAACCCATTAGTTCTTTTGGTTTTCCACTTACGAGGGAAGTACCCCAACTGATAAATCGCTTTTTCAACGAAACCTAGTGGACTATAGGTAGTCGACGATGCTGATTCCGAATATCACCATGAATGCTGCTGCTAGGCCTTCAAAGATCGGTTTTCTGAAAAACAAGTTTTCGAGAAACTCTAAAGAACAACCAAAAGCTTTCTTAATGATGCGTAATTGTAGTCCATGAATTTCTGATTACAACGAGGTATCTCCCAGCTCTACACGATCTTTCTTTGCAAAGTTATAGAGTTTACAAGAAAAGCCTAAATGTTCATTGTCATCTCAGAGCTACAGAAAGAAAAACGAAAAATGAATTTAGGACTTTTCTTGTAAACCCTATAACTTTGCAACGAAAGGTCGTGTAGAGCTGGGA